TCTGCTCGCCGCGCTCAACATCCATTCGTAGGCACTTTGGTATCTTTACGTTCAGTTCGTAGATCTAAACTTGGTTCAGGGGGAGAGGCAGAGGAAGGTTCATGTTGTTTAATTCGTTCATCATTGTGGGATTACTTGATCTATAGGCATTTCCCGGTTTTGTCCGCTCACGTTTTTTTCCTGCCCAAGTCTTTCTTCACGTGTGTTTAGACGTGATCCGATATATAACGACTTTGTTTTGTTCCAGATTATTGGCGTCGGTGGAGTCCGCCATCATTTGAAAGCATCGGGAATGACTCGAACGCTCTATTTACTTTTAAAGCACTAGTAATATCATCATTTTAAAGCTTGTCTCATGTTCCATCGGCCCTTTCAGGTGTTTTTTTAATGTCATCTACATGCCACTGAAACAGATTATGACGCCTTCCCTGGCCGCAAGACCAAGAACCCTAGTGAGAGTATGTAAGGAATGCTAGGAAAATTTCCTACCATTTCTCTGCGGTACTTACAGTAGAAGCCCGGTGCGTCCCGTCATGGGCTGTACGTGTGGAACGACGTTTCCACTAACTTTCATTTATATTAGTAGGCAATTAATTTGTTATCTTGTCCTGTCGAGTTTCCCTTCTTTATATTAGTTTCCACGGAAGTTAGCCAGCTGAACTATTTTTCATTAATGAAGTTTTATTTCGTTTAATTATCGCACTAGTACGTTTAATTTCCTAAGTTCTTTCTGTCTTAATTTCAAGCTGTGAATGTTAATCTTAACTCTCTATTTAATTTAGGAAACTGCGTAGAGTTGATTAGAATTCGCTATCTTAACTAAAGTATTTTCACTGAGCTCATATTGTTGCATTGTCATATTGTAAGTTGACTTATAAAGGATGATATATAATTAGCAAGTGCGTTTGTAAAGTTTTTTCGATTACATTGTCGATTACACCGACGATTACGAAGATTAGTATTGTCGAGTGAAGAGTAAACTAGCTACTGTTAGACAAAGTTACGTCTCTTCCCTGACGTCCGTAGCGAAGTCCATTGAAGTAGATCCTCGTGTACCAGGAAATCGTGACGAATTTCCACTCCCGCAAGCAAGCAGTGCTCTCAAGAGTTAGATTCCCCCAGTTTTTAGTTCATGTGTCCTTCCAGTCAGAAATTTACAGTGTTTGCAGGAAAAACCTATTGTCACATTTGTCAAGACATTTTTGTGCCTTGTCTTATGGTTTGGTAATACAGCAGGAAAAAGCCAGGAGAATGTAGTAACTATATTAGTCTACAGTCCTTATATTAATACGTTTTCCATCCCTGAATGGTCCTGAGACCTAAAACTGTGTTTTATAATAATCAAATAAACATTTCTCTTTTTTGAACGATGAAAATCAATTCCTAACTGTTTTAGACGATTGTAATTAATTTCTAAGATTTCTTTCAAACTTAAGGAAAATTAATTGGCTGTTAGCCATAAACAAGCTAAAATATTAACCGTTAGCCGTAAAAACCAACACCCCATTGAGACTCTTTTATAAAATCTAATTTGCTACTCAGTTCATTTTACATAAACAATAGCGTGGATACTTTATGATTACTGCGCCTGTTTCATTTGTCTGTTTTTGGTTTCCTTTTTGTCCACGTGTATATGTGTGATAGCTCCCGGTGCTTTTTAACCATTGTCATATCGCCAACTCGGGATAGATTTGCTTCTTATGGTTTACTCTGGGTGAAATACTACCTGCTATGGTTGTTAAACATTAATCAATATGTGTAAAATATTGTTACTAAACATGTGTTGTTGTTGTACACAATTCCAGCAAATTCTGAAGCAGAGAAAAGGCGTTTTTTGTTGTAAACCTTCGAGATATTCAGTTTGTTCAGTTGTTGCACAAAGTTTACTCACGTTTAACGTTTGTGTACTTTATGCCGTGCCCATCATATATTCGCGATTTGTCGATAAGAAAAAATCTTGCGACATAATCAATAGACTTACAATATCAGCTTTATGCACAATTCTTATGCGATCTGGTCGCGCATCTCGGAAAACAACAGCTGGAAAAAAATTCACATTATCACAGAAAACGCTTATCGGTAGAACTCAGTAGCTACTAACCTACTATCATGATTTTAACTCCAGACCGGTTTCCCGCCTTAATCATAACAATTACAATTTCCTCAAATGTGATTGGTGCATAAACTGGTGCATTTTGCTGTAATTTATCTGCAAAGTTGTAATCGGACAGTGTATTCGGACATTTGGCTGAAATCGGACCCCTGTAGTCGGACAGTTACATGAGCCAATCATTGTAAGTCCTCTCCACTAAATCCACCAATCACAACATTGATTACAGTCACTATAGTAACCAATTCAAGAGATTGACTTAGTAAAATTGTGGAGGTTTAGTTTGCGGTTTTTGTTTTGAAAGAAACTTGACAGCAATATGCATTTTGCAAGCTATTCCCAAATTCTTAATTATGATATTTAAAATGACTATTAAAAGCTATTTTTCAAATTGTGGGAAATTGTAATGGTTATGATTAATTGGTAACAGGACATCGTGCTATCCAATTCAGTCTGTAATCATACTCGTGATTAACAAATCGGACTTCCACTTCTCCATCGTCCGATTTTCCGTGTTAATCACTCGTATGATTACAGACCGAATTGGACTCCACTCAGTCCTATTACCATTATTAATTGGATCTTTTAGTAGTTTTTTAAAAACATTTAGATTTATATATATAGTCGTCGTAGAACAAGTCGAGTGTCTGTAGCATAAAAAAATGAAGCTCCAGTAACAACTTGCTCTTTTTAAAGCATTTATTGCTTTCGATTCGTCAGTCAATATTTTCCTGATACTTCATTCGTAAAAATTGTCACGTATCTAAGAGACGGATTAAACGTGTCAAGAAAAACAACGTAAAGGGGTCTGATGTATCACTGGCTTCTCCGAATTTACATTTGTATAAGGAGTGTAAGGTAATCGGTTTAGAAAATTAACAGAAAGAAGCCGAACAAAAGATCATGAATATTGAAACATTATTTAAATTAGTCAGCAAACAGCATTTTAATTTCCTAACGAGGTTTAGCCTTTACAAAATAACATTTACATATTTCATCATTATGGTTCGTTTTGCGAAGACTGGCCTCATAAAAGACAGCACAGCTATCCCTTTCTGCGAAACGTTTAGAGTCAAAGTTTACTTTTATCCTCGTGAAACCTGTTTCAAGTGCCAAATAGCTGCCATCTGCACCATCTCTATTCCAAAGAAATTATCATTAGAGTGTTTCGAGAGCTTATGAATATCAAAGTCGATAAGGTGACAAAGAAAGTCTCTTGGATTAAGGAGGGATAACCACAATATATTACCCACAACTGGTGGCAGTGAAGTTATTTTTCTGTGGATTTTTAAGAGTGAAGTTTTAAAGCAAAAGTGTTAAGCTTAAGGAATTGGCAGTTAAAAATCACTTTTACCATGGAATTCCAGGAACATCTTATTTGGAACGATTCCGCAGGCGACACTTTTAACGCCACAGAAACCCACAGCTTTCCGACGGAGAGTTTATCGTTCAAAATTTTCAAACTGTTTTGTTATTCTCTCGTCTTTCTCTTGGGAGTCGTTGGAAATGCTCTTGTGTTCCGAATGGTGGTTAAAAGAAGGAAGCTTCGAACTGTAAGCAACATGTTCATCTGTAATCTGGCCGCGGCCGACATTGCCGTCTTGACCGTGAATCTGCCATTTCGCCTGGCGTACCAAGAAAACTCATACGTTTGGCCTTTTGGTGCAGTGTTATGCAAGACAGTTCCAATGCTGACTTACCTCTTCATTACTGCGTCGTCCGCCACTCTTGTGCTAATGACTATTGACCAACACAGAGCCATAGTAAATCCCCTGGGGCCAAGGTTCACCATCAAAATCACTAAAATCGCGCTGTTGTTGATCTGGATTTTCTCCACCCTCATAACTCTGCCGTTCAACTTCGCTTTGACTGTGGTTGAGCGTGAAAGTGGCCACCCCGTTTGCACAGATATTTGGCCGAGCGCTCAATTTGAACGATTTTACTTCTTATGCTTGTTTGTAATACAGTTTGTGATTCCAATGGCCATTATCGCATCATGTTATACTCGCATATGCGGTCATCTTAACTCAAGCACAACACTGGGCCGGCTCAATCCAACCAAGCAACGATCAGACAGAAACAAAAAGGTAAAATAAGTTTAATTGGACACTTTATTAGACCTCGGTACCGGTCGAACCCCTATTAAGCGGCGACCTCTATTAAGCGGTCAGTAATTAAGCGGCCAACCCCTTTTTAGCGGCCACTATCCCTTTCACCGAGGGTGGCCGTTTATCAGAGAGGAAAGTCTTAACTTGATTCTAGTGGCCGTTTATCATGTTTATATGCGGAATGGATAAGAACAAATTTTTCCCAAAGACCATTAGGCCAGTTTTCTGAGAGACGCCTTTGCCTGAGCTGTAAAAGAGGAATTTACTTATTCAGCTGTGGGTGGGTATCTTAAAGTCGCTTTCAAAATTACAATAGACTTAAATTAGATTTAAAAGTAAGATATTACCATGGTTACCATGTTCAAAACATTCACCTTCATGCCAAACAAACATGAAGTCCGTTCTTTCATAGAATTTTCCTCTCTTAAAAAAGTGATGTTGCCGATACGTGTTCTCTTATTTTGGAGATACATATCAAAAAAATTTAACTGTTTTTTATCGAGTCGGTGAAAATTTATATCATTCAGACAGTAAATAGCTCTCAGAGTATAATAGAAGACAAAGAAAACAAAGGAGGATCTTTCAGTAAAACTGCCCATTTGATATTGTCAGACGGGTATAATGACGCGATTCGCACTAAATAATAAATTATAGCAAGGTTGAATTTTAGCTATTGGATGCAACGGCGGAAATGTTCGGAGAAAATCAGCATAAGAATCATACAATACTCAGCTGAATAAACGGATAGCAGTAGCTGATAATTTTCTACTGTCGCTTATATTGGCTGTGGCACTTCAAAAGAGTGGTATTTACCTTATCTTCATTTGATAAATCTCTGGAAGGTGGACAGCGTTTTCCCATTGTTTCAATCGAGGTCTTTTGTTGTGTAGTAAGATAGAAGTTTAATTTACTATCATTCAGTTGTATAGTGTTCGTCACGTGGAGTTATATTTAGTTCGTACCGCAACACCGTGCTTTAATTTTGACCTAAAAGAGAGGGGAGTTATTTTTTTAAGATCTTCTCCATGGGTGCAAATGCGCGGTCATGTTTCGTCGGAGATGAGCATGAAGCAGAGAGAGAGCGGTGCTTGATGGTAGCTGGCCCACAACTCCAAGCGCTCCCCTTTTCACTAAGGAGTGACGCCCGGTTACGAGGCAGCAGGGGACGTATTTAGTCAAATCGTGACTAAGCCAATCATTACTCTTTTATTAACGCACCTATACAGTAGGTATGTAAGCTGCGGTTACGAACATCTTATCGCAGGTTTGCCATCGAGATAGAAGAAATTGGGGATTAGGGTCAGGGTCAGCGTTAGAAAATGGTAGCATTTATAGTTTACATGCTGCCATTGCATGCAGTGTTCCGTTACATTTCATATCGTAGTATCATTGTTACTCATTTTAAGCTGGACTTTAGTCACGTGGTAGCCACTAAAGGTTGTTGTAACTTGCCATTCGGGACTATGTTCCTGTGAGCCTTCGTCTAACAGCCTTGACCTTTCGGCTTTGTAGCAAAGCAACTGGTATCTTCGACCTTACTATATGTTTTTGGAGGTATTTCACCCGCAAACTGTGTTAAACTTTTTTTCAGGTGATTAAAATGCTGATCGTCATAGCTGCTGTCTATGCTCTTTTTACTCTTCCTTATCACGTGACCTGGTTGTGCGGCGTGTTTGGTTATCCGAACTCCGTTGCTAAGAAACTTTGCGTTCTTCTCGTGATTGCTACAAGTGCTGCTCATCCGATCATCTACGGCACACTAAATCAAGAATTTGCTAAAGGATTTAAAGCGTTTTTCCGATGTTTAAAAACGAAGCAATTAGGAGAAACTCGTCAGAAGACGTTTGAAAGAAGAGTGAAAAATAAGACGCTGAACAAGACATACCGATTTTCTTGCCCAGTGACGTCGAGGGAGAATGGCGACCGTGAACTACAGCCTGCAAAAAATGAACCAGTCGTACAGGATATAGTTACGTGTCTGTGACGGACACGGGTACTTTATCCAAAGATTTTAACTAACCTCGCATAAGGTGGCTGCGCCCGCAATACGAGCGGCAGTCAAGTCCAAGTTGTCCTACCTAAAGGACATGATAATAGTCTTTTTCCTCCCAGCAAGCAAAGATAAAGACAATGCTTAAGTTACTCTGGCCTCTTCTAGCTCGAGAACTCTGGGTTTAATTTGACAAGGAACAACATCTTTTTTTTTTCAAAATAACACAGCTATTCTCCTACTTAACGATACTCGACGAGGGATGAACGAGTTTCCCCTCGCGGGCGACCCATTTTTTAGCGCCAAATTAAAACTTTGGGGCACAAAATGTCGACAAAATGTTTAATTTCATATTTTCCACGTTCTACAATCTGATACGGGTTTAGGCATTGTATATATTCAATACCATCTCCAGTGAGAAAAGCTGATAGACTTCAGTGCCTTTCTCGTCCGTTAACAAACATTGACGTCAGGACACGGCACAGTTTTTCCCGCCTGCTGAATCCTGATTGGTCAAGCAAGGAAGGAAGTTACAGTTTGATCTTTGTGAAGAACAGGATCAACAGTGGAAATAGCAATCAAACGCTTACCATGTGCAATGTGTTCAAACAGCTGAGAATTTCTCATAATTTTTCTTTCTTTACAACTAATTAATTGGGGTTGAACTGTCTGTTACACTCGCTCACATGTTGACCTTGGGCTACCTGTGGTATAACGTAACAGACAGACCTGGTCGGTGAAAACCAAGAGAAGAGTTGAGCTATTGCTGTGATCCAATATCTTATGATATATTTCATAGTCTTTCGTAATCATTAGTTTTTAGGCACAAAGTTAGCTGGTGTCAGTGATGTCTTTTAGCTTGTCTGTTAGTTGAGAAAATAATATATCGTATGTTTTTGTTGTTATTTTTGTAATTATGTTAAAAAAGACAACAAGTTATCACCTGGCTATCACTAATGTATTTTTAGTCTTAGATAAGACTTTGAAATGGATAGAATTAAATGCAGTGGATTACTGATCACATTTTATCCATGTGTTTAGAAATAACCGTGAAATACATCTCCCTTAATTGTGAAAACAACATGATTACTTACGAAAAGTAACATTTTGTCGAATTTAATGCTATCTAGTGCTCACCCGTATGAGCTATTGATTTCCAGAATAACCTACAGTGACCGTACAGTCATGGGTTTGTTATATTTACCTTAGTAGGCTCGATTTCCACTGCTCACTCGAGTCCGGCCGACTGCTCTCCTCCTCTAGAAGATAGAGTTCGGGGGGGAGGAGCGAGGGCTGCTTTCTCGAACAGCGGTTGGTAATCGAGCCTATGATCATAGCCGCATGTGTAGCCCTTAGCCTTATCCACCCATCCACTTCCCAACCCTTTCCCCTCGCTTTCGCCGCGAGAAAAAAACTGCCGATACGAATCAAACGGGGTGAACTTGATGCATCGTGAGTTTTAATCAACTTAATCATAAAGTCGTTAGCATGGCAAATAGCCAGATTGAGGCGGCATTCCCACAAAACTGCCATGTATGAAAGTAACCAAAATCGCGTAGCCTTCATCAATTTTAAATTTCGGCAATTTTTTGAACTTGCCCGATCACCACACAATTGTAATCTGGCTCATTAGAAATATTGATCATTAAATTCGTTTAAATCTATTAATTACGTTGTATTAACTTTGTTTGACGAAATATAGGGCGAACAAATTTTACAGCGCGTAAGCGCTTGCGTTCACTTAACAATATAAATGGAATATACTTAACAAAAATGACTTTTTCTTCAAATTCTTGCATTTTTAAAGCAACTTGAATATATGTGGAACGTCTATTGTACTCTCTGTCGAGTTCTGGCCAAACATGGGCTGTGTGTCATTAGTTTCTCTCCTTACAATTTGTCTTTACTTTCACTAACTTTGTCGCCGCATCGGAGATATCTACAGGCAGGCATGTCCCCTGATAGCTCGCATAAAACTTTTTCCATGACGGTTTTTCCCCTGTCATATTTGCAATGATCTTTAACAAATTTTCTCAACAGCTGTGGGTTATGTGTGAGTCTACGGCCTATCCCTGGTCTCGAGGCTCCCTCCGTGCTGTTGTTAGTGTCGTAAGATGTTGCATCTTCCAATCTTCTACGTGCGTACTGTGAGGTACAACTCTGCTTTCGGGGGATTTTCAGCGTGGTTTTCGAGTCACCGAAATGCTGCAGGGAAAGCTTTTTCATTCTTTCAGCCCATTGTTTGATTTCAAGCTGCCTTATAATAACTTGTTCGGCCATCTGCGCTTCTTTCTCCGTAAGGACGGATGCTTGGTGCTCGCTCCCTACTGATAGGCTGCGAATTCTTTGCTTGTGACCCATAGCTGCTCCCTCATAGGCTGCGGCTGAAGTGTCTACAGATCGCATCCTTGAATGATTTTTCGATAACACAGGAACTGGCGTGCTGCATTTTCTGAACGTGGCTCTTTCCTGAAGACTGCTATCCCTGTAGCTTCTACTGCTCTGAGTTCGCAAATTAGATGAAAAATCACCGTTTGCTCGGCGAGTGGATTTTACTTTCTTCTTAGGAGGAGACGACACAGATGTAGAAGAATTACAACCTGTTTCAGTTTTGCTAACATCTGCTTTCAAAACTTTGGCAATAGCATCATCTTCACCCAAAGCTTTCTGGCGGAAGCCATGGGTTTTATTTCTATTTGAACTACAATCATTTTTGTTTTTTGTTTCAACTTCTTCAACTGTAGTTTGCAGCCTTAAATCTCGAAGCTTCTCAGAGCAACAAGTAACAAGGTCATCTGTTTGTCTAGCGTTCAGTCCACTTCTCTCATTGAATGTCGTTTCTGAATATTTTTCTTCAGTTTTGCGTCCAAAATATAGGTCATCTTTGCAAATGTTGGCTCCTTCACTTTCCTCCGAAATCGACTGCATGTAGCTTGTCACTGATGCAAACAAATCCGCCATGTTATTATGTTGCTCGATGTTAGTGACAATGGCTACAGAATGTCTTCTCTTTTTAGAGGGCGCTTTAATAATTGGAGGCAGTGAGGTTGATGGAGTGCTAGTTTCATCGCCTGTTACTTTGTCTTCGAGTTTCGAGGAGACGCAAACACGTACGATTTGCCCGGGGTTTAGTTCCTCCACCGCAATCGATTTTCGTCTCAAATAGTTTTTAGTACGCTCCACGCCAGAGGCTGTTATCAAGTTAAGCTTGTTGCTGTCGTCCTCTTCAGTCTCGCAAACATTAACGTCCACAAATTTTGGCCTTTCTGGGCCCTTGTAAAACGTTCGGGAGTACTTTTCACGGCGTATCTCGTAGAGTTTCTGCCGGACAGTTCTCTCCTCTTTCTCCATGACTTTCAATTTAGTGTTCAACATTTTGTCTTCGACGTCGTTTTTACGTCTGGCGAAATCGCGCGACTTCTGAAAACGAAGTGTTTTTCGATTATAGTTCATGGCTGTGTAGTCAGGTAAAATCACTCGTGAGCTGGACGCGACAAACTGAATATTATGAATCGTGGCGATTTCTAGTCTTTGTACCGCATATATATCTGTATATGAGTTAATCTTCTAATCGTTTATATTGTTCTCAAGGATATCAAGCCTGTCTCAAGGGTCTTTTGATACATAAAACTTTGTTTGTTTAAGGGTGCAAGAATAGAAACCAACGAAATTGCCGCATTGCTCTTATTCTCTATGCCTTATAGCAATGGGCAAAAAGACACTCTTGTTTTGTTTGTAGACAGGAAACAATCAACTTGCCATGCCTTTTGTAAGTGAAGTGAATTTGGCTTTTGACTTATTTAAATCATCTTTTTGCGTTATTACACTTCGTTTGGATAATTATATTTACCCGTCTGCTAATGATCACTTCGATTGAGTCGTTCAGTTGAATTGGCGAATCAATTGTTTGTAATCAGAATTATATAAGAAAACCATATGTGCAAATTACTTTTGCGGTATCCTTTGGGCTCACCTTCAAACAATCGATCTTTGATCATGGCCTGAAAGAAAATTGCGATCAACGCTCAGTTTAATGAAAGTAAACAACGTGCTTTCATAACTATAACTTACAGTTCTGGCTATGCTAAAAAAAAAATTCCACTGTTCAAACTGTTCTTTAAAATGACTGTAACTCACGATTTTAATGACAGTGTAAAAGGGTTCCAGGGTCCCAGCGGCACATCCCCACCCAGAAATTCCCAAAGAATCCCCCCCGGGGTGTCTATACTTGTAAGCAGTAATTACGAAACGAATTGATTGGAATCAGTGGACCGCGCCCGGAAACAGCTCTATAAGGAATTTTAAGTTTAGTCTTTGCATATTTTCGTTCAGTGTTCTTATATTATATTGTTTGATCCTCGGGCACACATGTAAGCCGACTCACTCTTAGCGGCCTGTTATTTCAACAATTTTTCGTGTTCGTTTTTTACAAGTGATGGTTGTTATCACGATCTGCGCCATTGTTTTCACCGAATGTGTTTTTATCGAAAACTTAAGATGCACGACAGTGGCTTAGTATGTACTTGTTATGATTACATCAGAGTTAGCAGTGTCACGAGTGTCAATCCTTTGATCTCGAGTGATTAGTCAGAAGAGTGCAAACAGTAAAATTCTTTCTCCCTGATTCACTCATTGCCACACATTTTATGGTAAACTCTTAGACCAGATATTAAATTAACTTGATTGTTTTCTCCAGAGTCATGCACTTTCCTCATTGCTCAGTGCTTCAGAAAGGGCCTTGCCAAACCAACGATGTTAAACTGTGTTTTTGAAACTTGTACCTGCAATTAAATGTACCTAATATAAGAAAAAGAAACTCTTACCTTTTCTTGACAGTATCTAAAAATCTAATTTTAAACCGATCGCCTTGTCTAGAAGATCAAGACAGATAGGACTTGATTCCAACCTTAATTTATTTTCCGTTCACGCCGTTGTAGTGGAAAACAAAAGAAAAGAAAAAACTTTTGCAAGGTTGCCTATATATGCCAGTATTA